ATCTTAATAAATAGGACAGGACAGTCGCGAACAGGTTCTCCTAGTTATCTGAGGAATGGGATCCAAGGGCAGATACGGTGTTTAGGTGTCTGAGAAAGAAATCATTGGGAGAATAACATGTTGGGCTGCTGGCTCTTTAGTGTGCCGCAAACGCAGTTGTTTTCGATGTCTTTTTAAGGTGGCGCTATTAATCATTGTATTGAAATATACTTTCGCCGCTTGTGTACAGATAGATAGGCTCAGGTGTAAACGTTGGCATCGACTATGAATTGGGCTGAGGTTAACAGTAAACACTCTTCAAGATAGTTTTGCGGGCTTAAAATCGCTACTGTGTAAACCAAACGAATTCCGCTTCCCATTAATGTCTCCGCTAACTGTTAGAGAATTCAAGTAGAATTGTTCGGACTTGATTAGTATACCAGTGGAAACACCTGTTACATATCGGCAGTCGGCTCTTCCCCCTGACTACAGTAGTATCTACTTGAATTTAGCGTAGTAGGGTAGAGAGTCAAAATGAATGATAGCGCATTTACAATGAGTCACAGATATCCTGTCCTCTATGAAGAACGTTTCTGGGATCGTGTGTTTACTGGAAATTTGATGCCGCAATTGTGGCAGCATTATAGTCGCAGTAGAGACTACCGATTCTACCTTGGGTCACTGAAAAAATCCGAAGACGCCACTAATTAGCCCAGCAAACTGGCGTTGAAGTCGTGACTACAGTTTTTTCAACTGAGGTCGAGGTATCGAGGATTTCCCGAGGGTTCTTAGATGATCTTCGGGTTTATTAACAACTTCTGACAGTCTACAATATCCTGATCTATTTTGGGTTAAGAAGCAAAACCTCTGGCTGTAGGATTCATGTGGCTGACGCCAGGATATCTGGTTTGAAATTGACAAAGTGACTCTAGGAGCAGTGACTTGCCCGACACATCACGTTTGCCATCATGATTTGCGGTAGTGGAGTAGCGGTTTGTGGTCATTGCAAGAGAGCGAAATGCCCTTTCGTTCCTTACACATCGGACTTTGCGAACTAATGCAAGAGTTCGACGACTGCTGCTGACTCTTCATGAAATACTGCAGGGAACCGTACCTGATTCCAAAGTTGTTTATTAATGCTTGGACAGGGCTCAACGAGTCGAACCAGTAAATGGCCATGTAAGCTGAGTTTGGTCTTGTAGACTTAGCAGTTTTCAATGAGTGATGCGCCACGGCATAATGCAACACTAAGGCTATGCAGAGAGTTCCAGTTGGCCTTTACAAGCATCATTAGCGGTCGTAGCCGAGCAGTACTGTGCTTCCTATAGCAAGGTGCACTGGCTTCCTAAACGGTTGTCAAACTGCACACGTAACTAACTTTCCTTGGCTTGCTTATGTTGGATGTAAAGTTAGATGGGCGAACTTGCCGTACTCATCCCCGAGGCCAACAGTGTTGAAATGGTGTTACCGATACTGCATGTGTGCCTGACCTTGCTTTCATTGCAAAGAAAGAAAGGGGTCCCTTTGGTCTTGCCGTCCTGTTTCTTTGGTTTAGTTTAGACCCCAATTGCAGTTAGAGCTGCTTTGCGCAGTATTCGCTTAAACCAATTTATTTGAATGGCTTATAAATTAACAGTATATGATACAACCTAAGCTCTGTTAAAAAATAAACTTACCACAGCACTAAGTTTTGCTGGAAGTACTTTCCCACATTTTATTTAAATCATATGTTATGACTCAGCTTTACTAATTGTACTGCGATGAAAGAAGCGATTTCAAACTACCACTATTAGTAACCAAGGTATATTTAAGATAGGGCACCATTAAGACCTTGAAAGGCTTTTTAGGGTGCCAAAGGTGTCGCCAGTTTTACATTTCCAAAAATAAAGAGGTCAGATGACACGCATTAGAGGCATGTTCTACATTCATGATTTGATTTTTTAGGAATAAGCATGGGTTAATGCTTATTGTCAATGGCAAGAGGACATCATATCTTGTAAATAAAATTTTTCCCAACTCCTGGTAAATGCGGATATCTGAAAATAATTCGTGGTTTTATAAACTAAGACGAGCACCTCTACATTAATTTGGAAATTGAGTATTCTTTCCAGGTGTTCATTTTTCCACACGAATATTTTATTCCGGCTGATTTTTCTCGTTACACATAGAGAGTACGATTTCTGAAAAGTGGAGATTAATGGATGCATAAAGAACTTCCCAAATGAAGTGGCTAAAATTAATTTTACGCAAAATTGAGAAACTAATGTCAAACCACGTGCAGAATGTTGAAACGTGGAAAGGTCAAGTCAGAGTTGCGACTGGGTTGGACTGAGTTCAGCCATTGGAGAGGAGGTATGCTACACCACTTTTATGGATTTACTTCCTCGCCCTCTCATGTCTACCATTAATTCAAATCAGATTAGAACTAACATAACTTCACAAGACTGATTTCTGGAATCGCACCTCATCATTCCATGTCATCAAAGTAACATTAGTTTCAAGATTGCCCCGCTGTGTGGCACATGGTAATTTTACACATGTTCCTCATTTTCACTATATGCTTAAAATGTAGTTGCAACCATTGATCAGCTGAATGAAAAGTTGCTTTTGGCCGTGTGTTAAAATAATACAATTTAATAACTAATTAAGCTGATATTTGCTTGGTGATGGATGGTTTTCCGCAGCGCCTTCAGTAATTTAATGACCTAATGGTTAATAGACCGTGTATCATAAAATTCATTTTCCATCCAAATAAAGCAACGGCCTTTAAAGGTGGGTAGAATGCAATCATTGTGTTGCTGCCACTAGTTGGGCAGGGTAAAAAGCATTAAGGATGTAGGACCCTTTTTAGATACAAACAATAGGTCGTGGACATTTCTGAGCAACGGCAGCATTTCTCTATCCGTTTCCTTATCGCTACAGGCTTTAATGTTAGTTTAATAAGTGTCCTTAAAAACTGCTATTACTCCCCACTTTTACTCACCCGGAATTCGGAATATTTATCCACGATTAGATATTCACATACTTCACACACGGGATGGAACTTACACCTGTATTGATCAGTTCCTCGTCAAAAAGTGGCCAGGTATAGGACAATTAGGGCGAAGGCAGATATATGAGAAGACTAATGTTGGGTTAATCGTAAAGTTTTATTCCATTTTTTATCAACTAGGTCCATCTATTCCGATAGAGAAGGCACATCACAATGGCGTAAAAGCTGTCATGAAAGCATGCATAAAATTCCACAATTTTATTGATAAAACGGGGGTTTACTATAAAATCGTTTGAAACATTTAATTTATTAACTGCGTTTGGAGTTAAAACAAATGAACAATAAGGTGTGGTTACCGGCCTTATAAAATGACCAGGGGCTGTGTTACTCATGTATAGATCTGTCCAAAAGAATTATCTTTTCGAGGATGAAATAATTCGTGTGGTGCTCACTGCATGAAGTATTCAAATGGATTTGAGGCATATGCACCAGTTCTACTGTATAAGTAAGGCAGGCATTCCCTTTTTCTGCCAGCTGTGATTAATGTAAATTATCACTTGTGGTAATTCGACGGGTTTTAACTAACCTCACTTATTTTAAACCGATTGCAAAGCTTTATTTGTATATTTAAATCTCGGTTTTAGTAATGAGCTACTTAGGACTCCGTCAGTGTACCTTTGTTAGGTGGCCAGAACTCCGGTCCATACCAGTATCCCCAAACCCCTTCTGTTAGTCCACATATATTTCACACGAACATTATTGTAATACGATGGTGGTTTGTCCCCCCGGTACTGTTGAGGCGCCACTTTTGTACTTTGAATTAACCCTCCCGCACTTTGCTGGGTGGGCTAGCTTTTCGGGCCATGCCAATAGCCCAGACGCATTCGCTGTGCTGAATATATATTCTACCCGAGTATTGTGTCTTCTTTCGTCTTCAGGGAAGTCTCAGGACTCTACATTATGGCTTCTTTCAGCTTCAGAGAAATCTTGGGGAGCCATGCCTCTATCAGATACCCAATTTGTAAAAGAGTGTTTATGTTAGTATGTAGTAGTGTGATTATAAGTCAGCAGAAGTTAATCAATTTGATTTTACAACATATATTCTTGCCAAAAGTCCGAAATATTTCTGCGTACACAGGATCAGCCAAAAATTATCTGCTCAACAATTAAAGAGCAAAGACGTCTAACAGAATATTTAAAACCAGAACCATTTGAAAAAGCTAATTGCTGAGCTTTCTACGACACCTATGTGAAGATACTTATTACGTAGATACGCGATAACTTCTCCACAGACAGCTTAGATGAGCCTACTTTTTACCAAAATGCATCTATCGTGGGACTTGTAGGCATATAGGAAGTTAAGATAAAAACACAGAAGCGCATGTTTCAAAACCCACCTGATAAAATCATTTGTGCCTGGTAAATTCTTAAAACGAAAATGAATATATTAGTCCTAAAGAAGGGCATCTTACAAAATAAACAGTGAGGGTCTTCGGTTCATTTATTGTACCCAATTTATAATTCAAGAAAGCAGAAATATCTCGAGTACCATTTTTGTTTTAGTTTTTTTGGGTTTACCGACTTTAAGCAACTTAACGATGACTTGATGAAAATCTATGCATTAAGTAACTCATAAAATTTTTTGTGCTCGTACTTTTGAGTTTTGATAGATGGTCCAGAGATAATCATGTTTAACTCAATCATTAAGCATCAATACCCTAAACATATACATATGCACTTTTTTGAATAACAGTTGTAAAAAATTTGAACATAAATGGTTCTTTAATTTCATTGGTTATAATATATGACATTAAAAGTAAAAAAAAATTAAACTAGTCAGATTTGCGCTTCGTATGACTGCTTACTCTGTTCCGCAGTATAAGTAGCAAAAACAACTATCCTGAAATATAATTTTCAAGCCTTGCCTGTGATTTTGATTATGTTTGGGGTGGGTGATCCATGGTACTGCACAGGTTCCTGATTTTGTGTTCAAATCATAGGATGTTAAAAAGAAATTGTTAGCTTTCGAATGGTGGTCGAGTCTGTAAAGGTTATCGTTCGGTGTAGGCCGCTAAATAACAGAGAAAAGGCATTGGACTGCAAGGAGGTCGTAGACATTGATTCCAACCGTGGGCAGTGCTCAATTTCTAATCCTTTACGGTTAAAAGACCCACCCAAAATATTCTTCTTCGATGGAGCCTTTGGCACAGCATCAACAACCGAACAAATATATGCAGATATTGTTTACCCCTTGGTTGAGGGTGTCACAGAAGGTTATAATGGGACAATATTTGCATATGGGCAAACAGGCTGTGGTAAAACCTTTACGATGCAAGGCGAATCGGATAACTGTGTAAACAAAGGAATCATATCAAGGTACTCTAATTTGGTCCTTTTGTTTTATTTGTTTGTGTAGAGATCACATTGGCATAGTTTTAACTTAGTTTGTTTCATGTGTATTAAATGTCTTTGTAATTTGGCATTTTGTCACCATCTTATTGAAGGCCTTTTGATGGATTGCAGTTGATATTTCGCTTTATATTTTGGTGACTGTTTTAAATAATTATTGAAGTCCCTATTCCAGTGATTGTCTCAATTTAAAATCCTCCATTTGCTAAATTTGCGCCTGCGAATTTGTTATTCACTGTGCTCAGAATTACTCCTCTTTTGTTATTTTACTTTAGATCATTTGAACACATATTTGAGACAACGGCTGCCAGTTCCGGCTTGAGATATTTGGTGCGTGCCTCGTTTTTGGAAATTTACAACGAAGAATTGCGCGATCTGCTTGGAAAGGAAACAAAAATTAAATGCGAACTAAAGGAGCATCCAGAAAAGGGCATATTTGTAACTGGTTTATCTATGCACAAAGTAAAATGCGTCGAGGATTGTAAAGTAAGCTATTGTTCTAATTTTTACAATCATTTAATGTGCACATGCATTTCATATAAGTTGGTACTCTTTGTATAACTTAAGATTATAATGGAGCAAGGTTGGAAGAATCGTCATGTGGGTGCCACTTTAATGAATGCAGACAGTAGTCGGTCACATTCCATATTTACTATCTACCTTGAGATGGTAACCTTGGACAAAGCAACCAGTGCAGAGCACTTGAGGGCGGGGAAACTTAACCTTGTCGATTTAGCTGGTTCGGAAAGGCAGTCCAAGACGGGTGCCACTGGTGATCGACTGAAGGAGGCCACCAAAATCAATCTCAGCCTCTCTGCCCTCGGAAACGTCATTTCAGCCCTAGTTGACGCAAATTCGAGACATGTACCTTACCGGGACAGCAAGCTGACACGGCTTCTTCAGGTTTGTCCTCCTTCTAACTTAACCTACAGTACAACTCACTGGCCTTCTCATAAGTTGATTATGAAAAAAACTGTCAGCTTGCAACCACAAAATGACTCCAAACCGCAGTATCTTTTTTTTTGCCAGTTGAGGCGAACGTTTGTAAATTCGTTGTGTATTTTAGGATTCATTGGGAGGCAATACAAAGACCCTGATGATTGCGTGTCTCTCGCCAGCAGATAATAATTACGACGAAACGTTAAGCACCCTGCGCTATGCGAATCGTGCCAAAAATATCAAGAACAAACCAGTCATCAATGAGGACCCTAAAGATGCGCTTTTGCGTCAATACCAGGAAGAAATTGCTCGGCTCAAGGCTATGCTAGAAGGAAAGATATCTCCTAATCAATTTTCTGGCAAATCTGTTAAGGTGGAAGTTACTCGTCCTTCCACTCTGGAGCTTGAAGAGTTCTTGAAGGAAAAACGAAAAATTGAAGAGGTAGGTCTATTCTTTTTGCTCTTTTCTCGTCCATCACACGGTCCCGTTTAATAATAGGGAGTATTGCTACATTGTGGCCAGAACTGACACTTTGCATGATTAGTGTAACACTTTTATCTTTACTGTTTTAATATGAAACAGACTGAAATCGCTAGATTGACCACGCCTTTTTGTCCCTTTTAAGGATTATGAGAGGCGGTTGCGGGATAAGGAGGTTCTGTATGTAGCAGAGGCTGCTAATGCAGCGAAACTGCAGGACGAGGTCGCAAAGCTTAAAGAACTCTATGACACGAATCTTCGACGGCTGGAGGAGAAGTATAGGACCTACACCACCCAGAGTAACGGTAAGTGGGACTCTTCTCGTAGACACCCATCCCCTCTCTCTTTTTTGTGCTTGAAGTTTGGTTTGAAAGTCTGCTCCAAAACAGGGTCAATAAATAGTGGACGCACAGCCGTAGCTCCACTGTCGTTACCTGATTTTCGTGCCTCAGAGACCAAGGGGCTCCCAACGCTGCGGCTTGACAAACTTTCATCTTTCTCTAAGCACTCGTCAGGTTTGCCCCCCCTTTCTTTCTCGTTCAGCGTTGGTTCCCTTCATCCTCTTATGGCATGATTATGTTCATACATCCTTCATCAAGAAATGACAATTCGACTTTGTTTTTCAATGCCCGCATACGAATTCCGGGCTTTTTGAATGGAATGGAAATCATTGCTATAGGCATTGCAGCAATATTTATGTTATCTTTCTGGATTGAGGTCCTACCGCAAAGGACAGCTTAATTACTATTCGTGGTGGCCATTCTATTTTTACTTCGGCAAAAAATATTTTACAGTTCACAAAATTTTACTTCGCTCTTCTCCTTTAAACAATTCGTTTAGTATCAGAATATTGTGCTAATCAATAATGAGCATTTCATTGTGCTTAGTTTTATTGTCTCTTAATAAGATTTTTAACTTTATGCCTTATTATACTTCCTATTCTGTTGTCTAGCTTCCTTATGCTGTATTTCTTCTTCTGCCTTTTGCTCACTTTCAAAATAACACCTTATTAGCTCCTTTGGAGTAACTTATTTGTGCATTTCAAGGCATTAAACTAATTCTGTTGCACCTTTACTTTGTGAGTGCCTTTACTACCTTTAATGCATAGCACACAGCTTTATTGTCGTTTGGTGTTTTTCTACTGTCCACTAGACGCTCGCATAAATACGTGATGGTACGCATTTGTTTTGGCACCTTTCAGAGGATGATGTAGAGACTCTGTGGTCACCTTTGGCCCCAGGAGCGGCGCGCGACGGTGGGCTGACCTCGAGGACTTACCGCTTGCCAGTAGCTATGGCGGCATCTGCAACAGAGGCAGAGGAAGCAGAGGAAGCGGAGGCGGAAAGAGTGGAGATAGAGCGTCATCCGCAGTTCGCTATCCACCTTTCTACCACGTCCCTCCTCGGTATCACAACTCCTCTCGACGGCATCTCTCGTGAATACGACAAACTCACTAAGGAGGAGCTACTTCGAAGGTAATAATAATGAATAATGGCCCTATAAAAGTACCAGGATAGATAGAGTCGAAATTGAGAGCTTCAGTAGTCTTGCAAATGCGTCCGCATCAATACTTTTATTTCTCGTGCATCACGTATGCTTTGAGCGTATTGCTTCTCCATTTAGGCAAAAGGCTCGCAAATCTTGCATCTATTTAATTTATGTTAATCCTTGCGGAGGCTTTTTAATTCGTTGATGGAAGAGAATTCGCCGTATGTTGTGAAAACTCTCCTTTGAATCCTTTTTAATTGCATTTTCCGGAGAACGCGATCTCTACTGAGTATTTTGATGTATTGATGCCATTCTAAAGAAAAGGGATTTTTTAATTTCCAACCCACATAAACGCTTTTATGGGTGGATTATTTTAGCGCAGTCACTTGTAGAAGAGTCATTACCGCCTGTAGCTGCTATATTCTGTGACTATGTTGGTTTTTTTGCAATCGTCAAAGTTATCACAAATGAAAGGGGGACCTGAGTTTTCGAACCCTCTTTTGCTGACTTTTTCAACGTGATTTTGCATACTCTTCATTCTACGTAGTTATTGCTGACCAAAATTGGTCCCTATTATGGAGGAATAAACTAACTTTGAATCCAACTTTTGCATATTATGTGTATGTGTATTCATGATTTAATGTCTGGATTCAGTATAATTAGAAAGTTTGTATCCATGCATGTACTTTGAGTGTTGTAGACTCACACGAATAAGGCGTTTTTAGAATTCTCTCATCCTTCCCATATTTGTGCTTCAGAGTTGTAGAATTCGCTTTATTTGTGAAATTACAGTAGTCGTCAGCGTTTTCTGTCATGATGATCTGTACCTATTCATGTTCTCAACGTTTCACCTTTGTTTCCACAACTATGTTGGCTCGTCTAAATAGTGATGGATGCAGCTGAGCTTATTGTATTTTTGTCCCTGCGGCTGCAACGGTGACAGACTGCACCTACTGGAGGCAGACATGGTTGGGGGGGAAGAGGCAAACAACGTAGAGGTGCGCGAACGCCGCTCGCGTCGCCGTCGCCATGCTGAGGAGCGCCGCCGCCTCCTAGCTGAGGCCAACGCCAACCTCGATAACGCTGCCGACGATGACGGCATCATGCTCGGCATCTACGCCAGCATTCAGGATGAACTGAGACACAAATGCAGACTTCTTCAACGCGAAAAACAAAAAGTCTGTATCTGTGGCCATTGCAGTTCCCCTTTTACAGTGCAACTTTACTTTAGTAATCCAAAAATTTATTTGCTTCCTTTTAGTAACTTCCCTACTTTCTTGAATATCAGAGGATGATCTTTAATTGTTTGTATGTATTTAAAGTTGTATTCTGTTTAATCTAGTAGAAAAAATTGGTTTGCTATGTCTTATCAACCATCGTTTTCACAAATATGCTAGTTATTTTAACGATCCTACGACTTTCATCTGTATAGCGTTTTCTGATTTTAGAAGTTGCAAAACCTGAAGCAGTCCAAAAAGCGTCAATTGATTGTTACGCCTGTTCATCCTTGATTTGCAGACCAGTTCCCTTGAGACTGAGATTAAAGATCTGCAGCGTGAATTCGAGCTAGATCGTGAAGACTACCTCGAGTCTATCCGCAAACAAAACCGGCAAATTGGCTTGCTGCAGGCCATTCTGGACAAAGTCCAGCCCTGTATGCGCAGGGATAGTAATTATGCCAACCTTGAAAAAATTAAGAAACAAGCTTGGTGAGCTATCTGTCCATTAATAACATTGGGATGTTCTTAAATCTTATTAGTTTTGATCCTCGAACGAGTTCCTTTTATCTATGAAATCTTTGTTCATTCACACTATACTTTTTATCGCAAGATTGCTTTTCTTCCAACAACTTGACTCAACTTGGGTAGTCTTCCGTATTCAAATGAACTTTATGGATCCAATATTTTTCACTTCAGGAAAATCAAATGCGTTTGTTTAGTGTTGAAAATTTTTAAGCATTTTGTTTCTTCAAAACACCTTTTCTTCTGGATCGAATCACCCTACACGGTTTTCTTGTCACGTGTTCTCAAAAGGATAAATTTTGGTACAATTTCCATTGCTTAAAGCTTCCAATCGTATTATATAAAATGATTCTGAAAATAGATTCCCCGAAGTATCCATATCCTCGGCAGTTCAGATAAACTTATTTAACATAAGAATCCTCCCCCTATTCCTTGAATTGTATAAGAATGTTTGCTTTGCTGTGCACATGAAGAGTCGTTCACGTACTTTGTTAACACCAATCTTGTAACTGCTTACATTGTTTTCATGTTGATTATATATTTGGGCAAACGAGAAGCATTAAGGAAATTCACTACACTTCACTTTGTATTAGTTTTCTTAGATTATCCAGTAAAACATTTTAAGTCACACCTACTTTAAACAATTCAGTTTCGATGAAGACTCGAACGAGTGGGTCCTTCCCGCCCTCACAATTGAGCGTACAGTCCTTCCGCCCTCGGTAGACGTCGCTTCTGAGGATCTTGTCCTTCCGATTAGTCGCGGAGTCATCGGTCGTGGCACAGCCGGTCTCCGCGTAGCTGCTCCTCTCTCCAGTGCAGGGCTGCACAACCCCGAGGTTGAGGAGGAGGCACGCCTCTACGCCAAACTTGCCAGCCGTTCGCAGAATCACACTAAATACTTTGCTAATAAGCGAAAAGAACAACTTCTGCTGGACGCTGGTAATACTTTACTACCTTTGCACACACGCATCTTCACTGTCGTTTCATTGGGAAGGGTTGTGGTTAGTAATGCAAGGCCTCCTATGCAATACCTAGTCTGGACCAACATTTTCCGCGTCGACTAATTATACTAAATTTATGTGTTATTTTAGTGATAGCTTCTGAGCATTAAATAGTGGAACAGAATTATCAAAAAATGTTCTTCCTCAAGAGCTGAGCTAGTCTTTTATCATTTCCATCGTTTTCTGATCCTGTATATAAATAAGTGCTGAAACGTGATCTGTTCTTTGATCCATTATGTGTAAATTGTCTAAATCTCCCTTAAATGTTTAGTTTGAATGCGTTTTCTAAGGGTGTTCTCATGTCTATTTTATGAGTATTTTAGTATCAGCACATTTTTTTTCGTTTAGGAAGGAGGAGTTTAATAACCGAAATTTCACGAATGTTCCCTTTTGATCATTTTACTCCACTTAAGTTATCAACACACTTTTGTTTAACATGTTCGCAACATATCCGATCGACTGGCATCAATTCCACTTGACTTTATGATTCTTCGAATTTTTTTAGACGCGCCAAATTTTGTAGTCTCGGGAAAAAGACAAACGTTTTCCTCTCCTCCCCTTTCCTCACGCAGTGTTTCATGCTCCTCCTATTCGTCCCTCTTCCTATCGGCCTCCGGTTCTGACGGTGGAAGAGATAGTCTGTTTCGTGCATCACGTCTGTTGTCTCCTGTTTTCTTTTCGCCACGTTTACATATCCCGATTCATTTGCTTGCACTTTACTACTGTTGTATTGCATGCGAGGCCAGTGATATTGAGTGGTCTGCATGCTGAAGTAACTTACTCACTTCATGCATAAAATAACTTTTTACCGCGGGGTCAATTCTTCTCCGACATAAATTTTGGCTTTTTCGTAGTGTCTTCTCATCTGATTTGGCATTCAGATTTATGCAACTTTACAGCATAGGATTGAAAATCATTTTACGTGAAGTCCTTCAAAATCTCCGGCGACAATTCATTGTCCCAATCTGTGTAATTTTCTGATATAGCTGTTTGTTTCCTTGCTACTGCTCTTGCTAATGGCTTAGTATACATTGCGATAGGAAATGTGCACATTGACAAGTCATTCATTGGAGTGGCTGTAAGGTAGGCAACTGGGCGTGATCGATCTCATGTGCTGGTATTCATAAAATCCCCTATTTCCTGCTTTATTCACGAAATGTACGTAACAGAGAATCGGAAGGTGGTTTAAGTGATTAGAAGCACCCAATTCATTCTATTCATTTGATCACTGAACATTTGATCTTGCAGTGCTAATTGTTTTAGTGTGCACCCATTCTTATACACTGCGCACTTCTTTCAGTCACTGATTCAATTTTACATCATTATTTTAGCCTCTGTAGGTTCAAATAGAAAGGTCTTTCACGTGACAGATCCTCGATCTCAGCAGAGTAAAGAGTCCTTTTTTAACAACTCCAACAGCTACTTCTCACCAAGCAGCAACAAACGATCAGGCGTCGGGGGCAAAGGAAAACGTAGTGATTCCTTTTCGTCAACCAAAAATTTGGACTTTTAAGGATCCTCTTGTAAAAATCCCCCCTAACCATATAACCCATCGATCACACACATAGCGCTGTACTAATCTACGTACACATAACTTTTGCAATTATTTTGACTGTACAACTCAGCTTCCACCTTTCGTGGTCAAAGAATAATTGTTTTTGTAGCGACGTTCACGACCTTTTCTACCACAATTTACGCTTAGTCGTCCCACTGGAACTGCATCGAGCCCTGGAGCAGATCCACGCACCGCGCGCCCTCAGTCTAATAGTAAGCACTACGGAATCCCTCGAAACGTTAACATACGACCCGTTTCTGGGATGTTTAACCTAGTTTTCCAAGGGATTTCACTGGGGAATAGGGCAATGTGATGTCCGACCCCCATCATCCTACGATTACTGGAGCAACACTATGTGCCCCAAGTAGCTCGCCTGCCAGTGTCTAGGCAACGCGTTAATGCCTCAAATGTATGCCGCTGTTGTCGTACACCCTTTTGCACTCCTTTTAAACTGGCGATAGCCATGTTTGTTGCTGGTTCAATATCTCTTGCAGTCTCCCTCCTAACTAACAAAAAGGCCCGCCTTATTTTCATAAACACATGGCATTAATACATGAAGAATGTAAAAGTAGTGTATGTTGGAGGCGATGGATGAGGAGGGGAGCAAAAAAGCGTGAGAAGAGAGATTCACCAAGTCACAGCCACACTCCGGGAAAGGAGGAGCAAGAACAGAAGAAACCAAACAGAGGGGGGCTAGACTTTGGAGATGGAGTCAGTCGATTGTTGGACTGCCTTCGTCTCCATGCGGTCGGGGGCTGTCAGTGGTACGTGTGGCGGAGCTGCTGCAGGATTGGGAGGGCGTGAGCCACCACCCTCCTCATCGAAGAGGGTCGGCCACTCCTCCAGTGGCTCCTGCTTCTTTCCAAGTCGTGCGTTTAGGTCCTGCAGAGCCATCCGCCTGTAAAGCAGCACAAATGACCGCAGATTCGGAAATAAAAGTATCATGTCTCATGTTTACTTCACTTTCGGCAATAATGGTTAGCAAAAAAACTACTTCATCACTAATTAAACTTACATACGATCTGTATTAATGCAATTATAACGAATTTCATTAAACAGCTCCTGTGTGGCTACGAATGTATGAAACCGTAAACAATGCTTGGAGCATGGAGCAATTAACTTTCGTGATTCCCTGCAACCTAGCTTCCGCGAATGTGTAGCGGACAGATCATTCAATGTCATTTTTAGCAAATTAATCGTGGGATGCAGAGGCGCGTACTTCTTACCTTTACTTTCAGCTGTCTAAATGATCAAATAATTATTATTCTTCCATCATTATTCATAAGTAACCAAGAACACTTATCTTTAGGATTATAAACATGTTTTGACATTAATGAGATCAAAGAGCAGTGCAATGGTGTGCAGAATTTACATGGCTAATAAATAGTCTCTCAAAATGCCCTAGACAAGAAGCACAGAGACTAACTCCCTGTCGTTCACGAACATAGACACAAAAATCCCTGTGCATTGCAATAGGCCTAATTTCTAAAAGTATGTTTTAAAAAAGATGTCTCAATCGACTCAAAAAATTTTCAACAGAGCCATGCTACCACCCTCACCAGAAAATAAGGCACATATCCATTACAACATTTCTGTACGGATTTTCTTAAATACGAAGGGTGCGTCACTATGATTAAGTCCACTATACAAACTTCGAACGGAGAACTATCAGAACTTGACCGGTAGCCAAAAGAGTTGAGAAAAAAACAGATAACTGACAAAGGAATCACATTAGGCTATTTACAAATGGTTGTAGCACAAGGCAAATTACTTGATTGCAGGCTGCTTGAAATTAACTTATGATCAAAGCTACCTTAATTTCTGTTAAGATTTTCGAGGCAATGTTACTAATCTACTGCAAACAATAGTCATCAATAAAAAATCTGGCTCAAATTAACGGCACGCTGCCGACCATAGGTGAGGGGCGAATTATTGTCGAAAATACGATTTAGTGTGACTTCCAAAGAGGCACAAAGTATACAAATATTCGGTTAGATATTTTAGTGAGGAGTTTGCCATTAAAGGCGTGATGTGCAAAGCATTCCAAAATACCCATATCAATAGCAAGGCTCACTTGTAGCGTTCATTATCACTGTAGGAAACGGTGGGAACATCCCTTGAAAAAGAAGATGCTGAGAGAATTTCATATTGTTGCTCTATTTTTGGGCAGAGCTTGAACGCGACGAAAAGTGCATAAAAGAAGTTCACCGGGATAGCGATGGTCGGTTGAAAAAAGCGAGGGAATAAACTAGAACAAAAGGGCAACTCACCAATAAATTGCAACTTTTGAGAATTATTAGCGATTTGCAACTTACAATACAATGGCGAAATTAAGCAGTTATTATTCTTATAACTAACATCATCACATAAAATAACCACAGTAATGTGCCAATTTCCAGAAAAGAATCCACTCTTACTTATCCTACCATGGTTGACCCCATAAATGTATTAACTAAGTCTGAGATCAATATGAGGATTCCGCAACAACTTACCTCACAAAAGAGAAGCTGCTTCGAAAATCACCCCGCTTGCCATCGGTATGTTTCTGGAAGAACCTCAAGTATGTCCACCCGTACAGAAGGCCAAAAAACGAATACAGAAAAGTGATGGACGGAATAGCATTAAAGAGCTGCAGTGATGCAATTAGAACAAGGTAAAACAAAGAACCATGACGATAGAGTGGTTGCAACTTCGCGTTTGAGGAAACATCATGCATCAACTGTCTAGAAACAACAGTTACTGCAGCAGCAAAGGAGCTGGATCCATGAACGCCCGTAAAAAAGAGATCTGCCTCCGTTCTAGAGCAAGCAAATTTGATGTAATAATATATCAGACACATAAGCCCGGGAAACCATGTAGTAATTAGCAAAAACTTCATCTTTTCCACAAAATTCCACCGCCGTTGTAGCAGTAAATCAAACACAAGGAATCCTGTAGCGTCAAATACAAATAAAAGGACGTTCGTATTAACAAGAAAAAATGTAAGGAAGCGATAAATTTGAAAATTGGGGTAATACAGTGAACCCGTAGTTAGTTTCAGGTTCTCACATATGCCAACGGAAAAGATAGAACAATCAACAAAAAATATAACAAGAAAAAGCTCCGCAAGTAGACCGAACGAAGAAGCCGACTTCACCAGAGAAGATATAAGCATACTACTGTGTGCAGAAGATCACTAGCCGCGCCCACAATCTAGCTTATTAAAATCGTCAAAATTTATACCCCACTAAAATGACCTTAAAACCAGTAAAAGCTCTTAACACTTTATATTGAAAAGGATTTTGTTGCACTGTGAGCCGTGATAAAGGTGTTTTGATGTTATGCTTCACCCATGATTTTTTTCCGGAAAGTTTTATTATGAAATGGATGTTATTCATTGGTTGAACGGCAAAATTAAGTACTTAAGCTACAGTCATGTCAAATCCTGAGTAATAGCATGGTTATGCTGCCTAGTTAGTTTCACCAATAATAGCGTTCATGATTTACCCATATTTCCTGACTTCGCTCCTGCTAAGCGCATAAGTCAGTCTCTTTATTCACAAAGTTGGTTTGCTGGGAATGACCTTAATTTTATTGCCTTTGGCTGCATTTTGTAGCAGTCCTTTCCAACCCCAGCGGCCCAAAATATTTTTAATATAACCCCCCAAGACTTCCCCAAAGATGATAGAAAACATAATATACGGACAGCATGTACATATATATTTGTGTATATAGTGCATTTTTTGTTCAATTCTCGGTTTTAGTAAAGGGTCTTCGCTGAGTAGGCTGACCTTTGAGCCATGCCAGTAGCCCCAGCCCTACTTTACGTCGAATGCATAAGTCCTCCCCGAATATTATGTATTCTTTCGTCTTCAGGGAAGTCTCGGGATGCTGCATTGGTGGCGACGGAAAGCCAACCCGATCTTAAAGGGTATTTATCCTTACTTCTACTGCTGGGTGACAAACCTTAGCGGAGCGGGTGGGAAAATCGGTGCTGACCCTTAATAGGAAGGCGGAGAATGACGTCCATTTCCGACAACGTCCCCATTCATGTGGTCTGCAAAAAGGCTATTAACAATGGCAGCGAAACTAGCCATGAGCCATCTCGAGAAGTTCTATTGCGGAGTTGCCTACCGTGCCTGTATACGGACAGCGGAAAGTGAACTAAAGGTACCTCCCCCACCTCTCTACTACCTGGATAGAACTCGAGTAGATGACTGGTTACTGGTATAGCCCGAAAGTTTAAATGAGGAGACCCAAAAAATTCCTTCATTAAGACCAAAGTTAAACAACTAACATATAGAAATTGCCGTTTCAAATGCACTGCTTTGCGTGCATTGTAGCTCTTCTGTGCCGGATAGACCAAAGGACTTGATGTCCGCCTGCACCCAATCGCAAATCAACCGACCGCGGTTCTTCCCCTCCCCTATGCCTAGAACAAGCAAGTTTCCCAAAACCCCATACACTGAGCTAATTTCCTTTTATTTGCAATAAACAAAATAGTATAAGGCGAATGAGACCCGAATACACAATCTAGGATAATGATGAGGAGCGCTGTGGTGTAAAAAATGCCGCCATTAATTTGAAGATTTAGGAAAGCTTTGTTTCCTCCTAAAAGTCAGTGACATTTCATTGCTGGTTCCATCGCTTAACAAGTCCAAATATTCGGCGTTAATGGAGTTACTCTCCTTATTACTGTTGCTGTCGTCGCTATCTGAGTAGCGTCGAAGTGGTGAAGAACGCTCCGACACGGACATAGTGAAAAGCTCAGTCTCACTGAAGTCTTCTGGAAACAGCGACCACTCCTCCCAGGCCCGTTGAATGAGATTGAACGAAGTGCTGCGTCGCAACGAAGTGATCAGCTCGGTATTCATGGCGCGACGTCGGGCGCTCAGGAAGCGGCCACGAATGCGATCGCGCGCTCGATGGAAGTCAGTACGCCAGTCCGCCTTGTAAAGCATGTAGGCGGACTTGTAGCCAATGGGGTACACCGTCAGCGCCCAGTAGATATTTAGGGCGTCCAGTGTAAGAGAGCAGACGAACCAGGGCAAATCCAGACCGGGTAACTGCTCTCTAGCAGCCATGTGTTTCGGTGTGCCGCAGATCGAGTACACAAACAACCAGTAGGGAACAATCATGAAGTTGCGTGTGATTGCAAAGAAAATCGAGAAGATCAGAGACACGATGGCGACACGACGCCGGTCTAGAGTGTAGCCAACCTTACGATAAAACCACCTGTACACAAATAGAACGCAAGCTTCAATCAGCACGCGAACGAAAGCCACGCTAAAAAAGGTTTAGGTTTAGTAAGAAACTAGTAATATGAACCCAAGTAACACCGCTAAGATCGTGTGTATGCTCAACCACTTATAAAAGCGATAACATGACAGTAATTTCAAAGCCATCAAATGGCAGTCGTGATTCCTTTGAATTTTGTGGGGTGATTAAGTTCACGTGCGTGCATCCACACATTCTAATCAGATGTATATTGAAACCACATCAAACCACCTCAGAAGAGATTCACCATAGTGCACAGAGCACCGTCTAGTACAGTAAGGGTGAGTGAACGCATTACCTTATTGGTGAAACCATACAGCCCAAAAATCTGTTCCAAGTTAAACCCTCTATTTAACAAGCGAACTCACACGAATTCGCTGACAATTTTTAAGAGAAAATACTTAACCACTGGTCATTTGACACAGTCCCACAGTTCATTCCATGCACTAAGGGCAGATAATAAACATCTTACCGTTGGTTCGTAAAGGGAGTTGAAAGCTCAGTTGTGAGGCGGTAAACGCCAAAGAACAACCCCACCCTATAAATCTGTAGAAAAAAACATTATTTTAATAACTTCGGTGAAAAACTACCATTCTCGAGAAGATTCGGATGAATGGGTGGATAGACCGAAAGCGACTTACCAAAATGAGGTAGAACGATATCGTCGCAACAGAATGATGAACGGTGAATATAAGCTGATTTTTTCGGTCATAGTAGATTGGCATTGAAATTAAATCTACAAGGTTATTTGGGGAATAATTATGTTTCGGTAAATGGCTCATAAATTCTTAGTTTTTTCCAAAAAACACAAACTTGTCTAGATTCATTTTCTTAAATAAGAGCACCTCTGGTAGAATGCACTCCAGTCACAAGTCCCAAGACCGTGATACTTTAGAGTTGTAAAAGCGACCTTAAGTCACTGACACCAACTGGCAAAACAAATGTCACGGCGACACATAGTTGACTAAAAGTTTGGCGGCCGCCTAACGAGAGGTGCGAGCTCAGAGCCACTCAGTCGAAGGGATGAAGTGGGACGTGCTGGGAAATGCAGTGTGATGTAGATCAGCAGCGTTCGTGACCACCAACTAACCGTCGCCGTGAAATTTATTTTCTCTTAACTGGGAGCACCTTTTCATCATGAGCAGGACCACTCACAGCAAACATTTGGTCTGCCTTACCGAAGCAAAGGCACTTAGGCTTGAGCAATTAAATGTAAAAAGGGGATGCAGTGACCTCACTGCCATGCCCCGGCTACTCTCAAGATTCTGCCACCCATGCAGTGAACCACGATTTGCCTTGAATAAACATCAATGAACAAACTGGTTATGGTAGTTAAGCTAAGGACGAATGTTTGGCTTTGGTTTGATCCACCACTAGTGATTTCTGAAACCGCATATTAACAGTACAATGTTCCGGAGTGGATTGTGTGATCACGTACTCGTTGATAAGCCTGGATATTTAACTGGTAGTAGGGTGCTTCGACTTAAGGTTAGAGCTAAAATAGTGGTAGCTCACTTGACTGCATATACGTTCAACGATAAAACATGTGCAGACAAATTACGTCTCAATACCTGCGTTAATCTATACAGCTGGCACTAGACCCAAAAAATCTTAAAACTTGGTGAAATATTAGCTTTCTTGTCCAGGACCCTAAAAGGATAACTATAATATGCCTTTTAATTTAACAAGAGCACTGTTGTAAAAGACGGTTCATACTGATGCATCTACCTCTGTGTCAAAACTGGTGTCTGATATGCCTGAATTGTTCTAATCATTTTTGCCAGAAAACCCACCAATGAGACGGCATCGAATGAGGTGTGATGTGGAAGACACAAATGTACGCTTTAAGGCTAGATGCCAGAATTTCATTTTTAAGGAGACCTCAGAATGGGAGCCACAGCAACAGTGCAGGGAAAAGAAACAACTTACCGCATAAGAAGTAACCAATGGAAATGCACAAGGCAGTGAGACCGATCCGCCCTTGAGCACTGAAATAAGATGTCGTGGGTAAGAAGGTGGTGTAAAGTGAAATAATTCAGGCTGCACTCATAGCATAGATTGTTACTGTTTTGAGAATGTTAATAAACAAATTTATACCAAGGAGGGTCATTGGCTTGGATGATGCTTTCAGTGCCAACGTCCTTAGCTGATAGTGAAGTGGCCATGTGCTGATGGCGTCCGTTATCACAAACAATCCCCCCCTACCACTCACATCCGCTCTCGGTGTCAAAGACTGCTGACCAGTCAACACTACCCCATAAAAGTGAATCTGGAAATAATAACCAGGAGAATTGATTAAAAAACCCACAGTTCCTAAAAACGCTGACTTTTTCTACTGTTTTGAGGCACTATTATTAGCCTGAAAGGACAAAAAACTTGTTGAATAGCTGAGAATATTACATCTTTGGAAGGTGATAAGTTATTTCTTCTTCAGCCTAAATTGAGGGAGGGAATTTAAAGGAAGACTTCACACTCACCTTTACAAGTCGTACACCAGTCAATTTTTGGCGCTTAAGGTAAGCGACGTAGCCTCCTGTAAACACGTCTTTCGGGGTATCGAATTTGCCCTTTTGGAGTATTATAGTGAAATCGAAAACAATCGCATGAAGTTTGTTGAATTGTCGACTTTAAGATGGGCATCTAATTCCTAACGCTATCCCATTCTTCAGTGGTGCCAACTATTATTTGGCATCGATTGCCGTTGTTAATTTGAGCATTTTGCTGTTTAAAACCATTTTGAAGTCAGCAATTTTAATAAAATCACCTGAAGAAGCACTCAGCGTAAACTCGATTCCACAAACAAATGCATAAACATTAATCGGGAACTGAACAAATACAGAGGACGTCAGACTACAAATCAGACTATTGAGATAATTCATTTTCTTAGGAATATTCCATAATTCTGTTTACTCCAATTCGAGAATAGTATTGGTTAACAGCTACTGAGCGTCAATTCATGACTTACGTGAGAACATTACGCAGTTTATTTATAGAAAAAGCAAAGATGCTGTGGGGTTTCAAAAAGCGTTGGTCCGGTTGAATGCAGTTAAAAGATAAAAATAAAAATAGGGGCAGAGACAAAGTACTCACAAAAATGGATCCTCCCAAAGTTGGCTTTCCTTCATCAAGGCGACGACGCATAAGATGCTGACACTGGTGGCGTGTAGAGTTGAGACCACTCTAGAAGCAACAGCAAAAAAGTACATTGCTTCATTACATGTGAAAGCTTAAGTGGGCTGCGCAACTAGTTGAATTTGCTGGTCGTGGGGGGTGCATGCAGTAAACCAAGGTACACGAGCGTACCACTTTGTTCAAAGGGTTCGAGACTGTCTGACCGTGATTTCAACTTAAGAGCCGAAATACGGCATCCAAGTAAGTCTGCAATGATGAACGACGGTCATCGGATTTTAAAGTAGCAGGGAATATACCGAAACACTTATTCAAAAGCAATACGCTAAATTATTTGAGCGTTGACATTGCATGAAGGCATTCATCCCCAGGTTTGTTACAATGAAAAAGATAAGAGAGACAATTCACGTAAAGTCATAAAGCAACAGTAGGTGGTGACCAACAACGAACAATGAGAATTTTTGTGAAAAAGTGGGCAATAAGCTACATGTCTCATTCTTAACGCTGCTTGAGCATGAAAAGCCCACATTAATATTCCACGTTCTTACAAACGGAAAAATGAGACCCTGTAGTGAGAGAGATGCTAAGGTTAATACATCTTTCTCCTTTAGACTCCACAGTTTCATTATGAATATGAGCAAAAAACTCCTAAAACTTCTCAACCTTCATGTGGAGGTTTAGTTCCTAGCTAAAGGCTGATTCAGACCCTCTGAACCACTGTAGGTTATCATAACTTTTGTCTTCCTATTATTGGCCTTCCTATTAATGCATAATATGACTAGTTTTTATGCATTAAGCCATTTTTTAAAAATAATTGGGAATAATGTCTGCAGATGCTAACTGCGGGTCTCTTAAGACATGTGCACTCAACTGTCAGACATGACTGGGTACATGGTACTAAGTCTAACGATGCACAACTACAACAAATAGCACATTGGAATTCATTTGAAAGAATAACAGACAATTGCGTGTTCACCTCGAGTCCCACTCCATTCGTTTATATTTGTTCAGTGCACGATAAGCGACATTGCGATTGAAGATCAATGGCGAGGCCACGTGATGAATGAAAGCCCAAATTAGAAAGCTGGTGAGGATGACTGTGTTATACGCCCTCGGTTCCATATCGCATTGGAGATCATCCACATCCCCGCCACCAGACAACCCCGCCATCGTCACAGCGGCAAAAGTACGTGGTGTTTGCGAACGATGTGCTGCCACCACATCGGCTGTCAACACTGAGCCAACCAGAATCGAAAACGCCTCCACCAATGAAGGCTTAGCATTTGGAGTGGCATTTTTGTGTGTATGAGTGCATGCATGCGTGTGTGAACGCATTTGCGAGTTCCTGATTGGCGATTACAGCCGAACGATTTAACTGGCAATTTTGTAAATAATTTATGTAGACATAAATAGTCGTTTAAACAAGCACCTGACTGTCGTCACTCGTGTGGATGACTCGCAGTAAACGAAAAAAAATACTCTCAGGAAATTGCTGATGTTCTCGGCTTTACATGTCTTATTCGTGAATAATATCACTGGAAGGAGGCCTGGAGCACAGTCTTTAGTGCTGAATATGGTGATTTATTGTGGGGTGAGGCTCACCGGTCCCCACTCCCCTTTTCCTACTGTTCTTAGAAGGGCCCGGTTGATTCAATTTAAATAATATTTACTAAAGAAGAAAAGAGTGTGAGAGAAAGTACAACGTTTAAGAAAGGGGGGAACCGCAATCGCTAGGCACGGGAAAGGACGATCCTGTCACCAGATTCGTATTTCCAGATTGCCTCCGCCCTGATATGTCTATTAAAACAACATAAGTATTACATTATACTATGGGCACAGTATCGTACAATCAGATTTATATTTAAGAGTTCCCCTAGGCGCCTTTTTCTGTATTTTGGTGTCAGCGCCTCTAAACTGCCTGCGAATTAGGATCCGAAACTTTTTCTCGTGTTTAATTGAATAAAATAATTATTTGTTACAAAAATTATTTTTCCTTATGTATGCACATATGAAAATGCTCAGGGCGACCACATTTTTGAAAGGATACTTTGAACACCTTCAGTGTGTTATGTGTTAAACACAGATTCAGTGTAACTGCTTATGCGAGGAGTGAAAGGAGATGTTTACTTGATCAATGTTTACAAAGCATCAATCACCATAATACACGTGTTCGACATCCTTTTTTCTATCACGGTGCCATGTGGCGTCTGCCTGCATTACAGAGTTGACGCAGGGCAGCAATTACGCCTTGTGATTTAGGCGACCTAAGTGGTGCATTGTGGCTTTAAAATATGCATCTACATTCAGCACAAAAGCTGTATTCTTAAAACGAGGATTATTAGTGAATATTCTTGCTTTCAGTACTCACTCACAAAGCTCGAACGGCAACGAAATCGATGAGTCGAGGTATTGGGGGAGCACAGTATAACGTTGCATGGTGCCTCCATAAATTCTGGGAAATATTTTGTAATTACTCGAAAGAAGTTTTAGCTTCCAGCTTCTATCCGAAGCTTTGGAGATTCCAAAGTACAACCATTACTTAAATCCCCGAATTTTTAAATGCCTAATAATAAAGCCATCTCTTTCTTCCCTTTTTCTATCTTTTTAAGCCCCTATCTTTCAAAGACCAGCCAAGCCATCGTCAAAGAAAAACACCAATAGGGTAAATTTAATCAAACTACACAATGACAGCTTTAAGGACACGGTGGAGGTTCAGCCTAACAGAATTGGACTAGCCATGCCCACTGTTCTTGCTTCCATTGGTCAATTGCAAGTCGTGTCCTGACTGCTTTCGAATCTGCTCATTGGTTGGGACTAAAAGACGAAATGGGCAGTGGCGTTCATTCCCCGCTCTTGCACATTTCTCCCTTCCTCTTCCGTTGAGCCGGCACGTGAAATTGGGTGGCATGGGTGAGAGCATTTCGATGCGGGCAAAGTCTCGCCTCCGGGAAGTATGGGAGGCCATGAAAAGGCGGAAAACGCTGGATTCATCAAGCCTCGAGACCCCGCTTCATCGATGCCTCAATGTGTTCGATCTGACGCTCTTGGGATTGGGTCAGACCATAACCTATTTCCCTTTACACTTTTTTCATGAGATTGACTATTTCCACTGCGAAAAATTTCAGCTTTCTTTTTCGGTTATAGATCGAACTCTCTTTAGAAACGGTTTCTATTCGCATAGTTTGCGCTCCACATAGCTTTGCCAAGAGTAGTTTTACGTAGCCTTCACTAGGCTTGTGCTATAACGGGCAGCCGCGCTTAAGAACCGACTTTATTTTTTTTATTTCGATAGAGGCATACAGATTTCCACTTTATTACATCATGCCTACGGCTAGGCAACTTTTTCGCACGAAAAGATGGTGCTCACTTCCGTAGACCTAGTTAGAAAGATTGGGTTCACATTTTCAAATCGGTTGAAGGCAAATGAAACAGAAAAATAAATAAGTGACGTAGATTATAGGAAGGTTTCTTTGCGCCTATGCGTAGTTTGTGGCATTTGTTGGAGCTGTGATTTTGCGACAGATGTTGTCATCCAGCAGTGCCAATTGTTCGAGATATGCGGCGTTGATTAATTTGTGTCAATGACGCGGATGTCGTCTACTTTATAAGTAAGTAACCGCAGGCCTATGCCATCTTTTACGATTCAGTTTTTAAGCAAAACACTGTGAATCATGGTGGCTGATCACCTTCCAATTTATTTACGTCTACCAAGACCTTATCTTTTCTCATTTTAACCGCTTCAAGAACTAGGTTCGATATTATCATTTTACATGGGGAGAGTTCAATGGTGAATCTGCTTGTGTGTGGCACTAAATTTCAGGCAACATGACTGGTTCTGGTATTTACGTGCTGACTGGAACTGTCATTCGAGATCGGGCTGGCCCATCGATCTTCCTCTCCTATCTCATTGCTGGTGTCACGGCTTTCCTGAATGCACTCTGCTACGCCGAGTTGGGATCCCGCATCCCCAAGGCAGGTGTTCACTCCCATTAACCTCAGTTATTCAATGTAGATTCGAGTAAAATCTCGTTAGCTAATATTTTCTAGTTGCGTTTTAAATCACTAATAGGTAAACTAGGCCAGAAGACTTGACTCTATGGAAATGTTTTAATTTCAGTACAGATTGTGAACTAAATATTTTCCTGTTTTCGGCTGCATTTTACAGGCTGGATCGGCTTACTCCTACACATATATTGCTAGTGGGGAGTTCCTGGCATTCCTAATTGGGTGGTCTGTGATTCTGGAGTACGTCTTATCGGTGGCGAGTGTGGCTAGGGGCTGGAGTGCCACCATCGACACCATATCCCAGTCAAGAATTAGCAATGGTACCATGGCTGTATTCGGAACGTGAGTGCTCCCATCATTAGCTCCCCTTGCGTGAAACAGCTACTCTACATAATGGATGGAGTTTCCGCAGTCTCTCAAGTTGTTCCACAATTTGGTAAAACTCTAGAATCAGACTAATTTTACTAACTTGAATAGAACACAATGACACACTTTAGAACGTTACGGTAATTATAATCACCTTAAATGTAAACAGTGCGTCGATTCATTCAATATCACCTAGTAATATACAATCTTACAAGTTTAAATGTTATGACATGATGTAGGGATATTTATCCTTAATTAATATGGTCGCACACAAAACTGTCACTTTAACTAGATTTCCCGGGAACGCCGAATTTCTGGGACAATATCCAGACTTTCTCGGAGCAGGAACAGTGATTGCTTTTGGTCTGGTTCTCAGCTTCGGCGCAAAGCTTTCCGCCCACGTCAACTCAGTCATGACTCTGCTGAACGTTAGTGTTCTTGTATTGATCACCATCCTCATGTTCGCACTACCAAACCCTATATTGCATGGTATCGCACCCACCTCTCACGGCGGCTTCTTCCCCTACGGTGTGGGTGGGATGATCGCGGGCGCCGGCACCTGCTTCTACGCCTTCATCGGCTTCGACGCGATTACCGTGAGCGGTGAGGAGGCGGTTGACCCCAAGCGATCTGTGCCTGTGGCCACTGGGCTCTCGGTGACTCTCGTCACCATCATCTTCGTGCTGGCCTCCTCGAGCCTCTTGCTCTTCGTGCCCTGGTGGACGGTGGACAGGCAGGCCGCCTTCACTGCGGCTATGCGAACACGGCAGATTACCTGGGCCACGTACGTGGCTGGAATTGGCTCACTCTTAGGCATTGGGGCCAGTCTCTTCACAAGCCTCTATGCGATGCCCCGCATTGTCTACGCTATGGCTGTCGATCGACTACTGCCCGAGTGGATAGGCTATGTGCCGCCCTCTACCAAGGTGCGTGCGTATGCGCATGTGCTTCATTTCGAATTTTCGCCCCAAGAAGCTGATCCTATCATGAAGTGACAAGAACTTTGGTAAAATAACATAAACTAAATGAATTTCTTTATAGTTTGGTATACTTCCACAAGTAAAAAACAAGTAGAATGGTAGTCCGTCTCCGATTGGTTAGTCTGAGGACAAGGCTATCGATTGCTGCGGAAGCCTCGCTTCTCAACTATGTCGTTCTGATTGGTCCAATTCCACGCTGCATTTTACCACACCTCATCAGTTCCTCCCGACAATGCCCTCTTCCTAAGGCTATCACTGATTAGCGATTGAAATGCAAAGGTCTCAGCAAAACGCCATTTATTGAGCATATTCCATTTCTTGTGGTACGTTTTTTTAACTACAATGGAAGGAGTATTGCTCGACCACTGGTAGAAATACTTAGCTTTCCAAAACAAGCAATACATGCATGTTTTCCCTCCAGTCATTTTGCATCCTGTTAGTATCACAGGGGAGGACTTGAAAAAGTCCCTCAATATTCTTCTTTAAGGTCCAGTTCCTCTATCGGAAAAAGGCTGACTGCAGATGCCGAACTGCCCTCAGAACCGACTAGACAGTAGTACAAACTGTGAAATTATATATTCACTCCCGAGACTAATCGCACTCAGAAGGACATTTGATTGAAGCTTGGACATACATTTGTCAAATTTGGCGCTGTTCTCGACATCGGTTTTCCATCGTCAAGTGTCCCTTTGATGCTAAATAAAGTAGAAAACATCAAACCGCTAGTTATCGACTGTAAAAACATAATGCAATATAATTATCACGCTCTCTACCGAACGAATTCTTCAAATAAATCGCTGCTTTATAAATGACCGTATAAAAATAGTATACAAATATGTGTTGCAGCTTTCAACCTTAGAAGCGGAGATTTCGGTAAATTATGAATACGCTAAAAGAATAAAGTGAACACTTTGTCGTACTCCCCGCATGCATTGCTATGCCGCTAACTTTTAATCATTTCCAGATGCGCAGCACTCGTGCGTCCCCTTAATAAAGTACTGTGGTTCTCATGGATGAAGCTAAATTCTGATTAAGTATCAGTCCGATCGACAGTATGCTAACTTTTATACCAATGCGATAAGAGGCTCCAGCACATAGGTTAAGGAAAAGCAGTCATTTCTGTGTTACCTTATCCAGGTGCCCATTGTTGCAATGGCCATTTTCGGAGGTCTTGCGGCCATTCTGACACTCCTCTGTGACATTCACACTCTGGCTGAATTCCTCAGCATTGGCACATTGATTGCCTTCACCATAGTCTGCATGAACGTTTGCATTCTACGCTACTGCCACTTCGACATAAACACTGCCGACGCGACTACGCTTCACCTGAAACTAGGAGGTGATGTAAGTTTAAGTGAATGACACGAGGAATGCGTACAGGTATTAACACACTCTCCCCCTCTCACAAACGCTCGCATCAACAAAGGTAAAGCCGGAGGAAAGTATGTACGAGATGAACGGGGCAGAGCTCTCCACACAGCGGCCGGTGGGCTCGGTGAAGCCGGAGTTCCAACGCCTCTTCACACTTCTGCCCGCGTGGCTGCCGCCGGGACGTGTGCCTGCTGTCGCACTGGTCGTCTACATCCTCTGCGCACTCGGTGTTGCGGCGGTGGTGCTGGGGGGTTCAGAATACCTCCTCGCCTGCGCCTGGTGGGCCATCCTCCTCACCCTCTTCTTCGCTCTCCTCGCAGTCGCTACCCTCCTAGTCATGATAGTCCACGTACAAAATACTGCCTTCGACACCTTCAAGGTGAGTAGGCGGGGGAGCAGAAGCTCTGTTGGAATTCCAATTCTGGATTTAAGCAAATGGAGACATAGAGGTAGTTGGAACATGCTCCAAAAGGCAATTTAGTTGTAAATCTGTTGGAAGTCTATTTGCAAAATTGCGTGCCACTTCAGACATCCTAAACAGGTTTTAAATCTTGGCAACTAATGCTCTAAGCTCAAGGTTAGTGCTTGCTGTGGCAGACCTCCGATGAGGCCTTAAAAAGTTGGGCATAAAAGTGCACAAACTCTTAGTTTAATGTCGGGTCTACCAAAAGTTGATTTAGTTATGTGCATCTCGTCCCTCAGCACGGAAATGGAGTGGATGAGTACTGGTAGTAATGCACCTCCAACACAGGCTCAAAGCAAATTGGATATAGATTTCACTGAGGTGGCAAAAACGCATTTTAACAGTTGAATTTGGGTGAAGTTGAATGGAAACTGAGTGATCAATGAACACCCTCCTCCCAGTTTTTATAAAACTGACACATCTTATTGACACCAGAGGCTTGGAGTTCACCGACTGCTACTAGCCAAGAACACAAGCGTGTGGAAATAATGCTAGGAATGCTGAAATTCACGTCTAGCCAAGATTTTTGTAGAGAAAGGTGATTTCATGACTTCTTTTTGCAAACAATTCGTCAAGTTACTTCATAAAGAATGCACAATAGTTCTGTAAAAAGGGTACCCCGGTTCTTTTCACCGCTAACGCTATGGTCATGTTAGGGCGCCTAAAAGCGTAAATGGTTTTAAAGTAGCACATTCATAACCCTAACAGAGATCTTTCCCAGAATATTCTTTGTGTGATGTGTGAGCACCGTGGTAGCTACAAAACACCCTGAAATACGCGTTGAGTAAAGAACATACGTCAAAATCGCAAATTATCTCTTCCAAGCACATTAACCAAGTTGTTAGAGGTGGGTGTACGCATTTAATTAATGTTTATTCTCTGAAAAAGCAGGCTACATTATGAAAAGGAATTACTAATTCTTGAGATGATCTATCACATTGCATGTCATAGAATCTCAAACACAGCTTTACTGACAATGTTGTCTTTTTCTTTACGTTAATTTATGCCCAGCTGCCTGCGAATTTAACATTATAAATTAGTCACTTCCGATGTATCTTAGAGATGAGTTTGCATGTACCACACCGCAAGGTCGGTGGTGCAAACAGAAACATTTGTAGCGTCTCGGGACCTCCCTGAAGACGAACGAAGACATACTGCTCGGGCAGAATATATATATTCGGCATAGAGAAGGTACTAGGGCTACTGGCATGGCCCGAAGGCCAGCTCACGCGGCGTGGTACAATGGCCAAGTCAAAAGTGGCTCCTCACGAGAACCGAGAGTTAACCAACCATCGTATTGCACATTTCTCCCTTTGTTATACATATGCTGTAATGCAGTTTACATCAATTCGCTCGAAAAGCCGTATCTCACGAACAGAAAACGAAATTTGAGCTAACGAATCGTATGGCTATCCAGCAACTTAGAATGAGCCTACAATGGGCACAAAGGTGGCAGAGACTTAGATTTTAGTTGTTCAGCGATGAAACTGATTAGTGTACAAGTTATGCTACCTTGATAAATTGAATAGCATTTTTTGACACTAAGCAAAAATAGGTGCACTTTCGAGATATTACATAGGTTTGGAGAGATCAATTTTCATTATTTAACGTTAAGGTATTAAGGATTTGGAAAATGAATGAAATATGGTTTGTAAACGTCCAAACCACAGAATGAATGAAGGAGTGGGTAAATGCACTCATTTAAATTAGCTCATGAATGGCAAGTTAGAGTCAGTTCATTGCCATTACTTAAGGGAAAATATTTAAATGAATCATTTTCAATTCTAGGTACCGTTTGTACCCGCCGTTCCATGCCTCTGCATATTTCTGAACATGTGCCTCATTGTGAAATTGTCTCCTATGACGTGGGTCCGCTTCTTTGTTTGGTCGGCTATAGGTAGGTGATTATTCTATAGAAAGTTTACTATACGGAGATTAGTTAATTACTAGGGGAAGACTTAGGTTTTGGGGATAACTAAAGTGGTTTATTGTCCAGTTTCATTTAAATTCCTCGGTTAGCGACCAATCACGAACTTCCATGGTTAAAATCAGATTTTGGAATCAACATTTCCCAAAGCTGATGCGATTACTGGCAGTTCATTGTTCAAATTATAGGTCTCGTCATATACTTCGCTTGGGGATGGTGGCACAGCAAGGAGTCTGGCATCTCAGGCGAATCCGACCCCCTGGTTCAATCATCCTTCGATGAAAACGTAAAGGAAGGGCAGGGACATTAGTAGCATCCAGATATTTTCTCTTCCGTGACCCAAGCAGCCAAATTTCATGGACAAATGAGTCTTATGTCCCATGTTTACAAGTAACATCGTGTTTGTCAATGTACTCGTATTGTCACTTTGATCGGATGATTTTGTCAAGCACCGCTTAATTCATTTTTCACTTCTCCGTAATAACAGGGTCTCGATGTCATTTGGTGGAGGACGGTTCTGCGTCTAAATTGTTCATGATTTCCTGTTTACCATACTTCCGTTTATACCACCGAGACCAGGCATATAAGATAGGGGACACAGGGGGAGACCAACTTTATGGAAAGGAGGAACTGGTAATAGATTCGATTGATGAAATTTGGGGAGTAGAGGTGAATCACTAACGGATTTTAAGGTAGCACCAACTAAGTAGAAAATAATGCAAAGTAAATACCTATAGTGGCGGCTGTGATATCGCATCTAGAACATTGTGAAGACATCTAGGATACTAAAAATAGTAACCATGAATTGCCATGCTAAAGATTTAGGGCACTTTACCACATTTTTATGTAATAGGGACATGATATAGGATTTCTTTTCGGAAAACTGCAAAATTTCGCCACCATTGCTCACAGCTATCCACACTTAAAACGAAACACACTTTTTCAACTTTATTTTAAGTGTAAATTATATTTAGATCATTCTGGTAAGATTTGCAGTCACCATTTTGATTTACGAACAGCCCTTTTAAGATTGTTTCAGTCCGTCATTTTTCTAAGTGGTGTATTCAATATTCGTACTTGAAAGGACCCTTGACAATGGAAGGCGGCGGTCATCCGGCTACTGTACAGGTAAGCAGTGCTTACAGAAATTGACAGGAGTCCTAACAATAGGAAAAAACACCTGAACAAGTCGCAGAGGAGAAACTAAGGGCGAAATACCCCAATCTTGTTGCTCAGGGACCATCAATTTTACAAAAACGTCTTAATCGTAACGTGAGTCTAGTTAAATATTACTTTGCGTACGCATTTTATGTACCTAGAATGGGCAAGTTGCTATCGACGTTTTAAGCCTTATAATCGAGGTATGTCACATCGAAACTGTGTAATGAAATTGCCCACGATGTACTAGCAAGACTACGAAACTTCACAAAAGTGCCTAGGAATCCGTGTGAAGGCGTGTTTCGCATTGAGCCCCTGGTACATTTTTTACCATGATGTTGATTAAGAGAGGATTCCTGTTGTATCTGAATTGAATAAGATTTGGTGTGCAATTATTGTATTGCCGACCAACTTTGGTTTTGTGTGTTTCATCACTTTAACCGTATGGTAATATCTTCTCAAGTCAATTCAATCACTGTTTTTTGCGCTTGATATTATAATTGGAATGCAGATGAAAAAAGCTGCTATTAATAAAGTGATTCTTTTTTATTTGACTTATCAACTGTTACTTTGTACTTTAGGTGAAATATTTCGACTCAGGTGATTATAACATGGCCAAAGCTCGATGTAATAACTCCCAGAAGGCTGGAATGCTCAAGGCCAATCCAACCTCATCGTCTGTAATTCCGGACGTTCCTGCCGATGTAATCGCTGCTCAACAAACGGGTGATACGATTCCCACACCTGAGAATGTTCCAGCGGTGCGCAAAAAGGCTGTAGAGTTGCAGCATGAGCTCCACCACCATAGTCATTCGAGTGCTGCTGCCACTCCCTCCACCAGTGCTGCCGTGACCACTACCATTACCCATCCCATCTCTTCATCCCTTGGCTCACCCACTTGCCCCGTCACTAAGTCGATCTTGGCTCCCGCCAACCCAGCGGTGGGTAAGTGAGGCTGCCTCCACCTCATGCTTTTTTGCCATGTCACCCCGACCTTTCCCCCAATCGTTTACCGACGCGCTCTTAACTGTTATTACCAGAGTGTTGACTCCTGTAAAATTGTAAACGTTCTCTTCTTGAATGGCCTTATTTCGCTAATATCCGGACACCATGGCAATGTAAGTTTCTAACATTCGTTTCCCGGTGTCTTTCGTTGCCATGATTCTGACCACGCACCGACAAGTTGGTGGTCACTTCGCGGAGCAGGATAACAAGCTTTTCAGTGGTCGGGGCGATGCATTTTCGATTCGCTATGAGCACATTCCATCTCCTAATATGTTCATCTTTTGCTACCGCATATCAAGCAGTCTTGATGTTCTTGACAAAGCTCTGATATACATGTAAAAATCCATTTAGGCTGATTGGCTCAAAGAACAGTTTTTTTAAGTGTGTGATGGTTTATACCATGCTGGTACATGCTCATTGTTTGATCTTGGTGTTAGTGTCGCGAACTCGCTCTACAGCTGTGCAATTTACTTATGTATTAAAATGACAAGACTGGGATCCATGGCACTCATTTTGATTGTCAAATGCTTGTCATGGATTACTCCTCTTGTTCAAAATTCACCTAATTATTCGGCTGAAAGTGTTATCGCTAACCGCAAATCTTCTTTATTAAAATAGGTTCTTAAAATTTGTGTACACCTTTTGGGCTTATAAGACCGGAAAAAAATCTTTTCAAATATCAACCGTTCCGTCAAAGTGGTTGCTTAATTAAACGCCTAAAAGTGCACACACTGATGTGGAAAAGTGCTTCATTGGTGGCTGTGGGATGAACCGAGATCGAGAACGTAATCTGTGCCAACAAGTTTGATGGACTATCCACGTCAGTGCGAGTTCAGTGTACTCATGTTTGGTTCGGTTCACATTATTTCCGTGTTTGTAGCCAGTGGCAAGGTCGAGCACTTCCTAGTTTGCGTGCAGCTCTAAATTTACCACAAGTTTAACGAGCTTCGGCAATCTTGATAAAATAATGAGCCTAATAAGCCACATGGACAGGTACTTTTTGTCCTGAATCTCAAATTCACTTGCACTATATTTAGGCTCAACTTAGCGTCTTCTGTTCACTAGTATCAACTAAGGACGATTTCAACTCGTCTCCAAAATCATTTATTGTACCGGATGGAATATTACCCATTGCTTTTACCAAAAGGCGTTTGCTCTAGTCAGGTTCCGACAGTTGCTCGAAGATATTTGTATTCAACATTGATTTTTTAAAAATGGGGAATTCCTGACCTTAAAACA